GGAGAATTGCCTGAACCCAGGAGGCGGAGGTTGCGGTGAGCCGAGATCGCGCCATTGCACTCCAGCCTGGGTTCAGGCAATTCTCCTGCCTCAGCCTCCTGAGTAGCTGGGATTACAGGCATGCGCCACCATGCCCAGCTAATTTTTTGTATTTTTAGTAGAGCCGGGGTTTCACCATGCTGACCAGGATGGTCTCGATCTCTTGACCTCGTGATCCACCCGCCTCGGCCTCCCAAAGTGCTGGGATTACAGGCTTGAGCCACCGCGCCCGGCCCAAATCACATGGTTTTTAACAAACCACATTATGGAGGTATGATTGACACAAAAAAAGCTGTAGTTTTGTTGTTGTTGTTGTTGTTTTTGATGGAATCTCGCTCTGTCTCCCATGCTGGAGTGCAGTGGTGCCATCTCAGCTCACTGCAACCTCCACCTCCCGAGTTCAAGCAATTCTCATTCTCATGCCTCAGCCTCCCAAGTAGCTGGGATTACAGGCGTGAGCTAACATGCTCAGCTAATTTAATGGAGACGGGGTTTTACCATGTTGCCCAGACTGGTCTCAAACTCCTGACCTCAAGTGATCCACCTGCCTCGACCTCCCAAAGTGCTGGGATTACAGGCATGAGCCAGCAGTCCTGGCCTGTAGCTATTTAATGTATACAACTTGATGTGTTTGGAGATATGGACATGGCTGTGAAAACATTCATCAAGGCCATAATCCATCACTTCACGTGCCCTTCCATCTCCTCTGTTTCTTTGTCATTTCCTTCTGTGGTAAGAGGATTAAACATAAGATCTACTCTCTTAGCAAATTTTCAGTGCACAGTACAGTATTGTTAATCCCAGGCCCTAAGCTGCACAGTAGATCTTCAGAATGTATTCATCCTGCATCCCTGAGGCGTTGCACACTTTGACCAACATCACCCTGTTTCCCCCTCTTCCCAGTCCAGGGCACCCAACATTCTGCTTTCCGCTTCTATTAGTTTGGCTGTTTTGGGTTCTGTGTATAAGAGAGAAAGTGCAGTATTTAATTTTCTCCGTCTGAGTTACTTCAGGATCTCATCATATCCTCCAGGTCCGTCATGTTGTCACAAATGGCAGGATCAGGAATTTGCAGGGAAGACAAATTCCTCCTTCCCTACTCCCTTCCCCATCCCCTCCCTCCCTCCCTCCCTCCCTTCCTTCCTTCCTTCCTCTCTCCTTTCTTCTTTCTTTCTCTTTTCTTTAGGCAGAGTCTCACTCTGTTGCCCAGGCTGGAATGCAACAGTGCATCATAGGTCAGTGCAGCCTTGAGCTCCTGGGCTCTAGCGATCCTCCTGCCTCAGCCTCCTGAGCAGCTGAAACTACAGGCATGTGCCACGATACATGCCTAATTTTTAAATTTTTTGTAGAGATGGAATCTTGCTTTGTTGCCCAGGCTGGTCTCAAACTTCTGGCTTCAAGTGATCGATTCTTCTGCCTTGACCTCCCAAAGTTCTGGGATTACAGGTGTGACCAACCAGCCCTGGATTTCCTTCTTTTTAAAGGTTGAATAATACTCTGTCATGGATGTATACCACAATTGTTTCCTTTGATGGACATTTAGGTTGTTTCCAGATCTTGGCACTTGTGAACAGCACCGCAGTGAGCCTAGGTGCACAGGTATCATCTCTTCAAGATCCTGATTTCAGTTCCTTCAAATGCAATCTTAAACCTATCCCCTTCTTTACCCTCATTGCCACTGCCCTAGTCCATGGGCCATACTTAAACTACAAGTATTTCCGGTTTATCTGTAATTCAAATGTAACTGGCTGCCCTGCCTGTGAGGGGCTGCAGCCGGCCAGCACCTCCTGCTCTCACCTTGTCCCCGCTAAGGAGGTTCTGTTCCTGCTACCTGGCCCAGGTGGACTCAGAGTGAGCCGGACAGACCCCTGCCTCCCCTCCTTTTCCCCTGCCTCCCCTCCTTTCCCCCTGCAGCATCTGAGGGGGAAGCAGATCCTCTGTAACCCCCGAGATCAGAGATGTCTCCGCAGAGCAGGCAGAGCTGGGTCCCTGCCCTACTGCTCAGATGCAGGCGTTCCCCTTGGCTTGCTGTGAAGGAGACTGACTCCAGGGCTCTGATTTTAAGGATCGAGGGGACTGACATCTGTGACGGCCGCAGTAGAGGACCTGGGTCACTCAGGGCCAGTACACGGCAGTGCCCCCTTGGTCTTCCTCATGCCTGCTTTCCCGCTGGACACAGACAGGGCCTGGGCTGGTGGGGAAGGCATTCTCCAGGGGGCGCAGATCTGATAGGACTCATTTCTCCTCTCCCTGAGCAGGCTTCTTTTAAACCCACTGTGTGGCCAGGTGCTGTGGCTCATGCCTGTAATCCCAGAACTTTGGGAGGCTGAGGCAGGTGGATTGCTTGAGTTCAGGAGTTCAAGATCAGCCTGGGCAATATGGTAAAACCCCGTCTTTACAAAAAATATGGACAAAATTAGCCTGGCATGGTGGCAAGTGCCTGCAATCTCAGCTACCCGGCATGCTGAGGTGGGAGGATCACCTGAGCCTGGGAGATCCAGGCTGCAGTGAGCCATGATTGTGCCACTGCACTCCAGCCTGGGTGACAGAGTGAGACCCTGTATCAAAACAAACAAACGAAAAAACTCCAAAAAAACCCACTGCATTTTAAACCACGCACATTAGTGAGTGTCCTGTTTCAGGGCAGTTCTGGGAATTACGAGGACAAAATCTGGCCTCATGCCTGGTGGAGCAACATGTGGGTGTGGACGCCAGTGTGTGAACGCCCCTCACCCACGCAGGACGAAGTCCGTCCTCCCTCCAGGCCCTGGGAGAACCAGCTCAGCTGGTCCACCTTGCCCCTCCCCCTCTCTTCTTTGTCTTCCCTGCAAACTCCTGCCAAGTTTGGAAGCAGAAAGAGCTGACGGTTTGGGGTTGCGGAGAACATTCCTTTCTAGAATACAAGCCTGCTGGTGGGAAGCAGATGCCCCTTGCTCTCGGTGCCTCGCCTTCCTCATCGGCTTAACGGGACTAAGGAATTCTGCCTGCTTCTCCTGGAGAGCATGTGGGACCCAGCAGGCCCTCATTGCTCTGTAAGAGGGGTGCCTTCTGTCCTTGCCAGTGGCCCTCCTTTGAGACCCAGCGCCCAAGTGCCCAGCAGCTCGGCGCTGTTTCCTCCTTGTCCGTAGCACTTTCTGGCCTCTCCCTTGCTGTCTTCAGCGTGTGGCCTGGTGGCCCTTTCTCTTTATGTTTTTTTTCTGGCACTAGAATCTGAGCTCCTTGATCTGCAGGCATTGTGTTTTTCACACACAGTGCCTGGCATGCAGGTAGTGCTCAATAAATGCTCACGGCGGCAGAATTTAACTGTCTTTGAGGTATCCAGAATACAGAGATAGGCCCCTCCAGCCTCCTGCTTTCTCAGGCCTTATTCTAAAATAAAACCTTAATTCCTGTCTCAAAAGGCAGGCCCTGCTTCAGCCAACTGCAGGTCCCCTTAGGAAGGTAAGATTCTAAGTCCTAATTCATCCCTTTTATACCTAAGGTGGACCAGCCCTGATTTTATGCTGGGTTCTTTACTTGTACCATTTTATTTTATCCTCATGATAACCCTATGAAATAGGTACTGTTAATATCATCTCATTTTACAGATGGAGAAACTGAAGACCAGAGACATTAAGCAACTTGCTCAAAGTCACACAGCCAGCAAGCAGTGCACAGGGATTTGAACCCAGACCCTTCTGATGTGAGAGTGAATGCCCTTGAACTTCTGGGCTGCACTGTCTGAGGGCTGCGGGGGTCGAAAGGGATAAGGAAGGAAGCTTGTAGGTACTGAGTGCCGGGGAGTGAGGGTGTGTGTATGAGGGTGCGGGTGGGTGGGGCTGTGCAGGGAGGAGGTTGCTGAAGAGGGGCAGGGGAGGGGGTGCTGGGGAGGCGGAGGAGGTAGAGAGAGGAGCCCCAGAAGCGGTGCTGATGATGCATGGGGCAGGAGAAGAGAAAGTCGAGGCAAGGGAGGTGGGGCTCTGTGAGCGGCCACACCAAGCTCTCCCTCCTGCCCAGGGCACAGTGCCAGACCTCACTTTTGAAGCTAATGAGAAGCAGATGGAGGAGTGGGACGGGCTAGAGGTGGAGGCTGCCTCTGCTACGTGGCACCCTTGGCAAGCCCAGAGCTTCTGCGAGCGGCCAAGAGCAGGGCAGGGCTTTGCAGCTGGGCTGCGGGTCTCCCTCCAGGTTTACTGCAGCTTGGACTTGCCGGCCCAAGAGGGTGAATCTTATTCAAAGATGGGTTCAAACATTAGCAGTCTCAGTGAACGATGCAGCCTGGGCTCGTGGAGTCGCTGCCACCCATAAGAGGGTGTCCCTCCTGCCATGGGCTTCCTTTCCTTCCCTAACATGTGGATGATCCAGCCACAGGCCTGAGCCTCCCAGGGTGGCTGGCTCCCAGGCTGTGCCATCTCTACCAGGGAGGGGTGGGAGTGGGTAGTGCAGGTTCTTGGAAGCCAGAGGGGTGGCTCTGAAGGGGTAGCTAGGGTTCAGGCTCCAGGGAGAGCACTGGGGGCTGGGGTGGCAGCCGCATGCGGGCCAGGACTGGGTGTGTTGGTGACAGCAGCATCCCCAGCATCTTGAATGGTGTGCCTAGTAGATGCACAATCAAGGCTTTAGTTACATCACATAACGGTTCTGTAAACAGAATCGAATCAGCCATGGACTTGAACCTCAGTCCCACCATTACTGCTAGCTCAGGAGAGGGCTTGATCCCCACCCCCAACTTTTTTAGTGACATCGTATCCCTCTGTCACCCGGGCTGGAGTGCAGTGGCATATTCACAGCATACTGCAGCCTTGAACTCCCGGACACATGCGATCCTCCAGCGCTAGCCTCCGGAGTAGCTGGGATGATAGGCACACGCCACCACACCTGGCTAATTATTTAATTTTTTTGTAGAAATGAGGTCTTATTTTGTTGCCCAGGCTGGTCTTGAATTTCTGGCCCCATGTGATCCTCCTGCCTTGGCCTTCCAAGGTGCTGGGATCACAGGCATGAGCTGCTGGGCTTGGCCATGGCTTCACCTCTTTTAAAGCTTCCGTTTTCCTATCTGAGGCTTCCAAGTCAGGCAGTTCTGAGCCCAGCTGTGAACCAGTCACCACTTGCTGTCTCTTAAAGGTGCAGAGCTCAGCATAGTGTCTGGCACATAGTAAGTGCTTAGTAAAAGCCACCATTGACATTTAATTCACAAACTAGCGGAGGATGCAGTAGAGTGTCCTGGGTCTTCCTGAAAGAGGTGAAGTGATGGCATTTTGTACTTTTCATCCTTCATTCATTCAATCTTCATTCAACTCTCCTACAAACCTGGCCTAAAATGCAGGCACAGTTGGGATTGGGGAAAGAGATGGCTCTGGGTTCATTAAACTCCGTGAAGCCTGTTTGAGGAAAGGAAGCAGAAGCCCTTCAAGTGAACTGGAGGGAGAAGCGTTCCTATTAGGAAACCCCCGACCCTCAGGGAACCGCTGACCAGAGGAGCCGCACAGCCGCCTCCTGGGAACAAAGGCTACAGGGCAACCTGGGGCTGGGTCAATTCTCTGCCCCCCTGTGCTAATCTCCCTGTGACTGACTATCCCCCCCCGAGACACTTCTGCTCCCCCAAACTCAGCATGCAACAGACTACAGGTTGCCATGGTAACAACCAGGGCCCCAGTTTTATATGTTCTTACCATTCCTGGATCAATACCGCCGGACTGTGGTGAGGTCTTTCTGAGTTCACATTCTGTCCCCCTCTCATAAGCAGGGGGGAGCTATCTGTCTCAAACCTGATTGTTTGCTTCTTCCTCCTCAGCAAGAAGTGGGAATCACACTCCAAAAAAGGCAGGGTCACTAGGAAGGCACCCCAAATTGTCTACTGTGAACAGGACAAAAGGCCAGCACCTCCCAGCTGCCTTGCAGATAACTATCTTCACACCATTTCCACCATCTTTATTTATCCTCTTACCTCTTTTTCTCCAGGACTGTTAGGAAGCCGAGAGCCACAGTAAAAAGCCACAGGGATGTCCCAATTTATATTTCCAACCTCGTCACCGGCCAGTTTCCTTCACAAACCCACTTTTCTGGGCAGACAGGTGCACCCTGCCAGCGGAACACGCCTGGTTACTTCCTCCCTCCGAACTTCCGCCCACACTCGCCTCTGTAGACAGAGGTGCCCCTCTCTGTATCTTTTTATTTTCTTGAGAAGGCTTCTGGCTCTGTTGCTCAGGCTGGAGTACAGTGGCGTGATCATGGCTCACTGCCACCTCGACCTCCTGGGCTCAGGTGATCCTCCCACTTCAGTCTCCAGAGTAGCTGGGACCACAGGTGCACACCGCCAGGCCCAGCTAATTAAAAAAATTTATTTTTGTAGAGGTGAGCTCTCACCATGTTTCCCAGACTGACCTAGAATACCTGGGCTCAAGTCCATTACAGGCCATCGCACCCACCCCCTAAATCTTTACCGGCCCTCAAAATCAAGCTCAACTTCGGACTCCTCCAGGAATTTTCCACAGGATTCCAATCTGGAGGGATCAGTTTCCTCTAAGTATAGCCTTTATTTATGCTTCCACCATTTGGTCTCCTATATCACCAACAGGAAAAATTAGTGAAAAGCTTTCCAGTGGGCAAAAAAGGAGAAAACGTCACTGAATGTCCAGGCTAGAGCAAGTTCCAGGTTATCTTTGCCTTCCATTGCCTTTGAGCCGTGTTACAACTCTGTAAGTCATAGAGAACTGACAGTAGTGCGGATGATTTGAGTTCGCAGAAATGCAAACTCCTCGTGCTGAGGAATGTACTTGATGGCTGCCCTGTGGATAAACTTCCTCTGCACTCAAGTTCATTTCCGCCTCCTGTTGACTTAATATGTGTGGTTCTTGGAATTCTCCTTTTAACTAGTTAGAGCATCTTAACTACTTCCCTCATTAATTAGTGAGTTAAATAAAATCTTTATATTTTAATGAGAGTCATAATTTTGTCTTTTTTCCAAAAACTATCCTTTAATGTTATTTAACTCTTGAATTAGAAAAAATAATGGCTTGGCACCCTATATCCATCAGTGTTTTGGGGAGCAGGCAATGGAAAGAGGAAAGGGACTGCCAAAACATAACAACTGTCCACCCGTCTTTTCTTGACAACTAAATCATTCCCTCTGGGCGGGCGCAGTGGCTCACACCTGTAATCCCAGCACTTTGGGAGGTCGTGGTGGGAGGATTGCTTGAGCCCAGTAGTTTACGACCAGCCTGGGCAACATATTGAGACTCTGTCTCTACAAAAAATAAAAATGCTTAAGAAATTAGCCAGGTGTGGTGTACACACCTGTATTCCCAGCTATTCGGGAGGCTGAGGTGGAAGGATCACTTGGGATCAGGAATTTGAGGTTGTGGTGAGCTATGATTGCACCCACTACACTCCAGCCTGGGACAGAGCAAGACCCTGTCTCTATGTTTCTTTTTTTTTGAGACAGAATCTCTCACTCTTGTGGCCCAGGCTGGAGGGCAATGGCGCAGTCTCAGTCACCGCACCCTCCGCCTCCCAGGTTCAAGCGATTCTTCTGCCTCAGTCTCCTGAGTAGCTGGGAGTACAGGCATGTGCCACCATGCCAGGCTAATTTTTGTGTTTTTAGTGGAGCATGTTGGTCAAGCTGGTGTCGAACTCCTGACCTCAGGTGATCCACCTGCCTCAGCCTCCCAAAGTGCTGGGAT